TACATCCTGCAATAAATTTTACTATTGAGAAAGAAAAAGACTCCTCTAGTATTTAATTTTAGACGTCCTTATGACTAGAAAAGAGGATGGCACAGTGAGAAGAAGAAGGGTATATAGGAAACCTACATCAACGGGTCAGTATACTCATTTTCTCAGCTTCCTGCCCATCTTGAAATACAAACGCAATCTAATAAAGTGCTTGGTCCGCCACAGAGCAAGAGAGATTTGCCCGGATGAATGTCTTGACGAGGAACTTAACAATATTAAACAGTTGCTAAGTGAGAATGGTTATCCCGAAAAGTTTATTGATAAGAATCTGAATCTGAAACCGAAACAGCCCAAGCTACCAACAGTTCCCAAAAAGGCCTTGTTCTTACAGATGCAGTCAGCTCCTAGGAGACAACACCAGTGAGATACTAACACAGCTGTGCCTTAGAAATGAGGCGATAAAAAGAGCATTTCCTGCTGCTCAATTACGCTGTATCTTTAAAACCACTCCTCTTCTGCGTTCGTTCGGGAATAAAAGATAAACTGCCTAATTTCGCCTCTTCCATGTGTGTTTATTTACCAATTCAACTGCTCCTGTCGAGTGAGCCAGGTACTTACTTGCATAGGCCGTACAATTAGGCGTGTTTCTCGTCGAATTTCCGAACATCACCCTGCACAGTGGTTGGTAGGTTTAGCAAAGGACAAACAAATTCTATTCGCAGTGCTATTCTATCTCACTCATCTTGTGGATACAGAACACAAGACTGATTGATGTTAACCATGCTTTCAGGGTCCTTTACCGCACACCTACGAATCTCAATTTTGCTTCAAGAGTTTGACCTCTAAACATTGCTGAGGCTGGTTGTTGGGATCCATATTAATAAGCCTAATTTATGCACCCAAAAGAAATTAGTTCAGTCATTATCATTACCTTGGCCATCCAGGTTTGAATGATCCTGAATTTTTGTGGAATTTCCCTAGTTTTAGTTGATATTCTATTCGCTATTATATCTTTATTAATATTATTATTATTTAAGCATCTTTAATGAACTGTGGTGATTCCATTGTGATCTTACTTAACAAATCGATATTACTTAAAAAGCACACTAATATTGTTATTGACTATTAATTTAGAATATTCTATGTATATAAACACACATATATATAATTGTAGAGCCGGAAGAGGAATTTATCGAAACGAATATTCTTTGCTCGATTATTTTGTGTTTTATAAAATAATTTGAGTTTGAACACGCACGGATTGATATTAGTTAGAGAACCATTGGAAAACCAACACACAAGAGGGGATGGAATTATGCTCTACTACAATGCCTAAATTCTATTCTTATATCACAGAAACTCTTTAGGTTTATTAGCTTCCACCTTATTCCAACACACATAACAATTCAGTAACGCTTCTATGTAGTTCACATGCATTTCGAACAGCCGACTGCAGACGCTTATCAGCAGCTGACCCCTTTGCTCCATACTGAAAATCAGACAGCAGGCCAGAAAGGATTAGGAAACACTGAACTGTGCACTTCAGTGAAGCAAACAACAAATATGCTGAAAAAAAATGGAGGAGCATGGAACACATTTTGAAGGGACTGTTGAGCTCTCTTCAGTGGACACCTGAATGGAAAACGACGAGTTGGATACGGACAGGTCTGAGGTTGACAGGAGTCGACAGTTTATCGGTATTCATGGAGCCAGCTAAAGACTGAAGAGAGCAGGATGGAATGGAGATATTCTGCTGAAGTTTCATATTCCGCTTGGAACCTAAGGGAGAGATAATAATAATAACAATAATGTAGTACCTCATCTCCCCCATATTCACAGCTTTTACTGTTGAGGTGAACTCAGGATATTTGACAAGTACATTACTTGAAAATTTGTATTTTGAAGTTCATAGCTGTTTCATACTAGTTTGGAAATCCTCGGCAGTACGCACTCACTACAGCGGGTCCGAACCAAGGACCTTCCAGTTACTAGACAAGCTGGCTCGTATACCATTCAGCCGCTTGGACTCGATTCAATGGCCAGTGCGTGAATTCTAATTTCTACCAATTCGTGAATTTTAGCGCGAACACCAACCAATGTCATCGGTGGGACATCCATTCTCACACACTTGACTGGATAGATGAAAAAGAGAATAAAAAAGGCCATTGACTTAGTGTTTCTCAGTGAATTAGTAGTTCCCCCCCCCACCCTAACACTCTTCTCATTACATAAAATGTGTGCCAGATAATCCAATTTAGCGCTTTTATACTTAGTCGTCCAAGCATACAGTCTTTCATAGTTATTTCTTCCAGTAGTACCTGGTGACATGCAAGAGGAAAATTGAGAATAAAGAGGATGTTCAAAGTCCGACAAGATAATATTTGTGAATTTTGCTGCATGGAATTAAGTGTCTTTCCGCAACAGTGTTTAACGAGTTCTTGTTGGCTTAGCGGTAATCCACTCGCCCTATTGACAGTTTACAGTGCCTCCACCAGTGTTGTAACAAAGGTTTTCCTAAGCACAAGTCGAAGAAAGACTAAAGAAGAAGAATAAAGAAGAATAGGTAGCTCCATTATAGATAAGATTGGATTTTGATAAAGTGTCACACAGTGTAGTGTTATACAGTAATATTAACTGATGCGACCACGTTTCGAGCACAATTTATTATTGCCACTCATAATGATATCAAGTCACTCACTCACTCACACAACTTTTTCCTTCATTTGTATTCAAGAGTGGAATTGACGATTAGACATTTGAATACAAATCAGTAATATGGGATAATTTGCATTCAGAAATAATAATAATGTGAGTGTTATTGATCAATTACAATCAGATGGGAAATAAGACGAGGGTTTTATAGTCAAAATAAGTAACTTGTTAGAATGTTATGATGATGTACGTGAATTGAAATAGAATACAATTTAAGATTATTTATTATCCTCCTCTGATTTCACTGACTGACAGACTGGTGGTAATAATATCTTCCATGCATGTCTCTGGTATTTGCATTGAGTCATTTCTGTTGCATGTGTTGTGTTGGATGTAGACTCGCTGAACCAGGCAGGATTCAGTAATCAATCTCTCTCTCCATCTACGTATATTACTTCTTAGAATGGTTGACCGTGAGACGATAAGTAATTTAAAAAAAGCTCAGCACTATATTGCACTGCATACATTAATACACAACGGCATGGTGGGAGAGGGTTAAGATTCTAAGAAGTAATCTAGGTAAGTGGAGAGAGAGATTGATTACTGAATCCTACCTGGTTCATTGAGGCTATACCCAACACATGAAATAGGAATGACTCAATGCAAATACCAGAGATATGTGTGGAAGATATTATTACCGCCAGTCAAATCAGAAGAAGATAATAAATAGTCTCAAAATTCTATTTCAGTTCAAGCACATCACAACAGTCTAACAAGTCGCTTATTATGACTATAGAAAAACACTCGTCTTATTTCCCATCTCATTATTGTGTTTGATCAATAACACTCATATAATTATTATTATTATTTCTGAATGTAAATTATTCCATATTACTGATTTGTATTCAAATATCAAATGATCAGTTTCACTCATGTATATAAATGAAGTAAAAAGGTTGTATGAGTAACTTGATATGATTATGAGTGGCAATAAAAAATTGTGCTCGAAACGTGGTCGCATCAGTTAATATTACTGTATAACACTACACTGTGTCACACTTTATCAAAATAAAATCTTATCCATAATGGAGTTATACTCGGCCATCACAGTGCCCAAGTTTTATGCTTTTATCAAGAATAGGTAGACACAGCACAAGAATTAATACTGTAATTGTAGACAGTGAATGATACCAGAGATTGTTTCAACTTCTTTACTTAGAACGTTAGATGTAGTATCTTTCTAGAAATTAACATGATGTTGGAAAGCCGAGGAATGATACAATAATAATAATAATAATAATAATAATCCAAGGCAGAATGCAAGAGTTAACAAAATGTAAGTATTGCATAGATATTCGGTTTTATGCATACGTGTTTGTCTGAATTCAACATAGAACTTGGCACCGAAGTGCAGCAGTTCCAGTTGCCACGTTCCAAATACCACACAAAGGTAGACAAGAAGATGGATGGGTGAAGAGAATCAATAGAGTTTTGACAAGTATAAGAGTGAAACAGAATGAGTAATGGTAGAAAGGAATATGAAAGATTACACAAGAGACTGAATACATCTGCGTAAGCCATTGACAACGACTTTGAGCCATGTCACACCTATTGTCTGTCTCCAGCCATTGATTCTTAGAGTCCCGAGGGCTGGCCCCAACCATTCAGGAAGTCTGCATCTCCCTCTCTACCTGACTCAGTTTAGCTGTCAAGGATTTCATGGATTGATGAGGCCATGTTTTTGTTTGGCATGGCACCACTTACTCTTTTCCAACCTGCACCTACCCATATCAGCTAGTAATGCCCGTCGGGAGGGAGAGACGATGGTTAGGCATGCGCAACACGTCACCTAGCCATCTCAATCTATGTAACTTTATAGCCTCGTCGATTGATTTTCCCTCTTTGCCCAACACTCTACGCCTAACCTAACGTCGACATTACTTGCCTTATTATACCACCTAACATGAGAAAGGGATCGTAGACATCTACGATCAAAAACAGTCAACCTTTTCATGTCTTCAACTCGTATTGGCCATGTTTCAGAGCCAGCCATAGAGAAAGACGGAGCGAACTGCTGAGCAGTAGACACGTCTCTTGGTTGATAGCCGGATATCACGCCTACGCCAGAGAGATGGTGTAAGTTAGCGAAAGCAGCTCGAGCTTTTTGGATCGGATCCCTGCTGAGATTTCGTTGCCAATCAGTCCGTTGGTGCTGATACTGTGGTGAGAACTGTCTACTAGCCAAATTGGTAGATAGTAATTTAAGTCAATGTTTGCGTTCTCAAGATTTGTCGTGAGAAAATATTATCAAAACCTGCATCCATCCATCTAATTTCTTCTTATTTCTCAAATACATACAGGTTGTAAACGAATAAGTGAAGACGGGCTATGCACATTAGCTCGACATCCACGCTTAAATTATCTTGAATTGGCGCATTTACCAGCAGCTACGCATCCGGTGAGAGCATATCTGAACAAACACTTGCCCGGTTGTAGATTATTATGCTAATATGCACAAAAATTTTGTACATATATATACATATGCACATATAATAACAGTTCTTTATCACCACTAACCACCAACCAACCAATCAGACAACTTTCTTCTTCCTCTCCTTCTTCTGCGTGTTCTTCTCCTTTTCCGCGCCTATGCACAGATCTAACTTAACTTTTGAGGAGAAAAAGACACGGCTTCTGAAAAATAAAAGATACGCGGATGAGATCAAATCTATCTATCTATCGATCTATCTATCTATCTTATCCTTGATATATACACCGAGAGAGAGAGACAGAAAAGTGAGTGCTACTCAACACAATCACTTCTCATTAAAAAAAACAAATTCCTTATTTCCATCGATCTATCTATCGATCTGTCTATCTTGCTTCCAATAATTTTCACATAATAATAAAAGCGTTCAACACTATTTGAGTTTTTCTTATTCTGTTTAAATGTTGTTTTGTTTTGTGGTTTTTGGTTTTTTTTGGTTTTTTTAAAAAATTTTCTCTGTGATAATAATAATAATATCTACTACACAAACACAATGTAAAGGACATAACGAACCATACTACTGATAATAATAATAATGATAACAATAATGGTAACACACACACAATTCAATACTTCTTTATTCTATTTTCTTGTCTGGTCACAACAATATTACAAAAATAATAAATAATGAGCTGTGTTTTATTTTGATGTTATTTGTTTGTTGGTTTTGTTGGAGGAGGGTCACGCACACGCTTTTTCTTTCTCTGTGTATATGATCCGCGGTGATATTTTAAGAAAAAAAACACAATTCCATTCTCTCACATGATCGAGAAGAGGAACCAGAAATCGATATAGAGAGTGATGCAGAGATCAGTTGACCCACCAACAGGTTACACCTAGTCCATCAGCAACAACTGAACCCTTCAAACACACAAAAAAAAAAGTTATATATAAAGAGTGATAATTAATGGTAAATGTTCGAAAAGAATATAAGTAAGTGACATAAAATAATGTTCTCAGTATTGGGTAGTAGGTAGCAGCAGCTATGATATGATTATGCATGGTGACAGTCAGTAAAGCTATAGTCATACAAGAAGTTATGAAATGATCATTTAAGACTATGTTTATCGCCAAGATGATCAGTTAATTTGGTTAAAACAACCAACACTAAACAATCATAAAATAACATTTCAGGGTTGTTTTTTTATTGTCTGCTCTAATAAGATGTTTTTGGTGGTAGTGTGAGTAATCCTGCATAATACAAAATCTTTTAAGGTGGTGATAATGGCGTTCATAGCCAATGATTGTCAGTTAATATTGACGAACAAAAAAAAACAACAACCACAAAAACTAATAATTACATGATACTCATAGTGCTAATATAGTCGGAACCAGTAGATACACAACAGAAGGAATACAATAAAGTACAAAAGTAAGCCAATGTTAATAATTTAAGTAGCTAAGTATGTTTAAGAAGGATTTTACTGTAGAATACAAGATAAGAGAGAAATAAAAGAGCCTAAAATTATGTTATTAACAACAAAGCAAGTCATAGGTTTCGCGCTTAACATTGTCTCTGTCGCTTAGAACACGGGCCAAGTATGGTATCGTTGAGTTCCTGTACTTGGTTGTACAAGCGTATATTATTTTATACTGATTTCTGGTTCTACATGGTGAGATACAAGGCGAGAGTTAGGAATAGAGGGGGTGTTCAGGGTCGGAGAGTATGGTTTTAGACCATTTTTCGCATGTGTTCAGATGCCTATCAACAAATGTAGTGACGAGCTGACTGAGTTTTACACCACTAGTCCTACTTACTACCTTCAACATCCTTCTCAGGATGGTATAGTCCTTTTTCAGTAGCCCAGGAAAGACTAACGGGGAGCAGTAAAGTAGAATAGGTAAGATACAAAAGTTGACAAATTGTGAAAGTAGAGGTTGGGTGATTTCAGATTGTCTAAGTTTCTTAATGCAGTAGTAGGTTAGACAGAACACTCTTAGAAATCGTTAGGATATCAGATGTCCAAGTAAGGTCGGGAGATAGAACTAACTAGACCGACGTATTTTGCATTAGACTTAGTGTAAGCGCAATATCGCTTGAAATTAAGTCACGCGTAGATAAAGGCTATCCCCGTCCAGAACAAACAAGAAGCCGGTCACTGTTTCTACGGTACTATTAATAAACAAAGCAATAATTATATATATACAACAAACCTTAACGGTTTCAAGAGTACAAAGCACAACGCCTAACAGAAAGCAAGGCATCCCTATCAGAGCGGAATAACGTTAAAGCCAAAATTTCGAACTAGCCGGAATCAGACACGACCGTTTAGGTAAGCAGTCAGTAGGAGAATGAACCCAATTAAGAGATAGACAGAGCAGAGGCACAAAGATAGAATTTAATTGGCTACTTAACCAGGTAGGCTGATACAGATGAAGATCAATGAACAAATAAGATTAACTCGACAAAATAGTACAAAGTAAGACATGGGTCAGCAAAATAACAGTTAACAAAAGTACTCTGATTGGGTCATAAGTTCAACTGTCTGACTAGACGGATCGATGTAAACACACACACACACAGTTCATTAAACAAGGGGGGATAGACACATTAGGCATGGATAATTGGGTTGCAACAACGCTAGGCTGATCCGGGACAGGTTGACTTGATTCAAGGATGGGAATTGAATTGATCTTATGCTTAGTTTCAATTTTAGTCGCCTCAATGCAACAGGCTTCATGAGTACTTACTTACTAGTGATCGTAGATCTCGTTTATGCCTAAAAGAGGAGTCAACAGTCTGGCATTTTGAGGGAGGGATTCAGCATGAGGACATTTAGTTTAGACCACTGACTGATGTCCGACATGAAGCTATTCGAAAGGAATATAACACAAGTGTGATCTTTGACTATACTATTATTATTATTTTATTCCTTTCCATTCCCAGTGGAACATAGGGAGCCTTCAAGCTGGACCCTTGAAGTTTCGGTAGCAGTGGTGTTTATTACTTTTACGGGATGATGAGGTTGCTAGTCGCATGCCCAGCCCAACCTTCCCTCTTTACCAGTCTTATTACTAGAGCTTAGCGAGTTATATACGAGTGAGTCGGTGGCCGGGAATTGAACCCCGAACCACATGTGGCGTAGTCAGTCGCCGAGCATTCTACCACATCATGCCAACGTTGGCGATCTAACTACACTGAACCTGATTATTTGTTAGATTAAAGTTTTTGTCTTTTTTTCTCCATAACTTTTTGAATATATACTATCAGATCTGTGCTACTACTTCCTTCCTATACGGATAATACTTCTCTTGACAGTCAGTCAGTCAGTGGGGATCTAGGGAGAATAATGCAGATATCTGAAGAAGAAAAAAATAGAACTTGATGAAAAACTAATACTAGCTAATCCAGATGCTAACTCTACATGTTACTCGGATCGATCTATCGGTAAACGCATAACGTACTTTCAGAGACAGTGATTGCTGATATTTGAGATGATGCATATATTATGATTATTATTATTATTAGTGAAAGGTTTTGCTACACTACTGATCGTTTTTTCTCGCTTAACATTTGTCAACCAACCAACACACCAGTGAGACAAGGCTGTTGGAAAAATAGCTTACATGTCTACGACTGTAAGCTCTTTTTTCTTTACTCCTTTGCGTTCCCAGTGGAACATACAGCACCTTCAAGCTAGAGGTCTGAAGTTTCCATAATAAAGGGTGTTCATTTTTACACGATGGGGTTGCTAGCCTCATGCTCCCCCTTGTTTCTTTACTAGCCTAGCGACTTATAGGAGTGCATCGGTGGCCGGCGATAGAACCGCGAACCATCACGTGTGGCGTAGTCGGTGAGCATTCTACCGCTGTGCCACCGATGCACTGTACTAAGTTCATAAAATGAATTTGTGAGTCGTCATAGATTAAGGTATGCCGAACATATGTCATACTGTGGTGAGTGCTACTCATAATTCGATATAAGTAGTATATCAGAAACGAATTCAGAAAAGTAACAATACGTTTGGCACACTGGAAAGAGCAATCAAAGAAGAGAACCATGAGAAGAATGTTGCCATATGATGCAGAATCCAAGAAGCTATCGAATATGATGATGATATTCGACCAATTCCTCAAGGATGTGGTAGTAAATGATGTGCAAATGGCAGGTTGAGAATATGGTATACCAAATTTAGCTATGTACCAACCTCCTCGGTCTTATCTTCTTTACATTTGGTGTCGCTGCCAGGTGGTGAGTGCTACTTATAATCCGATATAAGTAGTACTCATCACAATACCAGTTAAAGTTACCTTATTCCCTGCCCTGACAAGCAATGTTACACTTATAGTTAGGAATGGTTAAACGAAAACACAGCGTCACAGTCAAGCAGGGCAGACACAGACTGTCCAATCGGCATCGCCGAGATACTAAAAATGAATTGCTGGAGGCTCTACGCAGTATGATTAAAAAGCTTTGATAATTGTCTAGGCGCATATATATAGACAGCCAGATGGGTCCATGGAACTGTAGAATATGTAATATTAAACACCTAACAGTGAGCCAGCAGTACACATATCAGACAAAATATATCTCACTAGCTAATACAAAATTTGTGAGTTGTACAAAATGCTGAATTCCTTTCAGTATCATTATTATTCCCTTAGGTTCCAAGTAGAACATAGAACTGCAACGGAACATTTCCATATTTCAACCAGTTCTCTGCACTAGCTTTTAGCTGACTTCCAGATTGTCCAAAGGCCTTCATCTATATCCTCATCCCATGATCTGCTCTATGTCACACTCGGACCCACTCGAGGGTCTGCAGCGCGATCTTGCTCTGTGGTGAGAGCTGAATGCTAGCCAAAAATTGGGGTAGACAGTAATTTACGTCAATGTTTACGTCCCCTATAATGGTCGTGAGAAATAAGAACAAGAACAAAGACTGATTCAACAACCAACCACAGCAGACTTTGTTTGCGTAGGCGGAAACCATTTGCAGATAGATAATCTGAACTTCAAGAAACAGCCACAAAGAGATGAAAGATTAACTTTCAGCGAGAAACCACCAATCAGAAGACTGTGTCTGTTATTAAAAGTCTGAAACCTGTTTGAAGTGCTTTTAATGACAAGCTAATTAATGATGAACTACAAAGAACTGACTTGACATTGGTATTAGAGATCTTAACTTCATTCTTTATGACCGCAAAGTGATTTGAAAAAGCTACTCTAACACTACACGAAATGCCCCGAATCTTTATCAATCTCATTTCACAGCTACATAACAACGACAAGTTTCAGGTGATCTAAAGTGGAAAACTCACAGAAACCTTTGAATCGGGGACAGGAGTAAGCCAATTATCACACCAATGACATTCCTGACTGTGGTGGACTGGACCATGCCACAGACTTTAGGGAGTGAGAAGACACGATTACGTTGGGCCGACAACAAGACTCTAGAAGTTCTGGACATCGCGGACTATTCAAGTCCGATGTTACACAGTCTCGAGGATCTACATGTGAAAACCAACATGTTGGTAGAAGAGGTAGGTGGTGGAGACAGAGTGACCCGACGATCAATAACAAGAAGCACCGATAACCGTCGACAGGAGGAATTTGAAGGAAGTTACTCCTTCCGCTTATTTGGGTGACATGATGAATATGTCAAAGCCAGAAGTGTATAGGCAAGGACAGAACTTCATTTATCTGGAACCACGGATTGATATCAGTTAGAAAACCACTGAAAACCAGGGAGTACTGGACAGCTGCTGTTTCATCCTAGTTTGGGAATCATCGCCAGTACGCACCCACTACAGAGGGTTCGAACCCAGGACCATCCAGTTACAAGGCAAGCTCGTATACTATTCAGCCACTGGGACCCGATTCAATGGCCAGCCAGCCCATGAATTCTAAATTCTACCAA